TAGTTTATATCTCACAATTCTGACTTTTTAACTCGCAATTGCGAGTTTATATCACGTAATTCTGAGAAAAAAAGTCAGAATTGCGACTTTATATCACACAATTGTTATAAAGTCAGAATTCCGAGATATAAAGTCGCAATTCTGACTTTATAACTCGCAATTGCAAGTTTATATCACGCAATTCAGACTTTTTTTCTCATAATTGCGACTTTATATCTTGCAATTCTGACTTTATAGCTCGCAATTGCGAGTTTATATCACGTAATTCAGACTTTTTTTCTCGTAACTGCGACTTTATATCTCGCAATTGCGACTTTATATCTCGCAATTGTGACTTTATAACTCGCAATTGCAAGTTTATATCTCACAATTCTGAGAGAAAAAAGTCAGAATTGCACGTTTGTATCACGCAATTCTGAGAAAAAAAGTAAGAATTGTGAGATAAAAAGTCGCAATAACCTTTTTTATTTTTTATTCAGTGGCGGAAACGGGCTTCCATATGTAAATGTATTATTTATGACTTGATTATTTACAAAACTGAAAGAAAACTAAACTCAAGAGGATGGACATAAAGAGCTGAGGTTAGCCATTTCTGTCAATGAGGAATTGAGAATCATTTACTGGAGGATGATGTCATTATACAAAAAAACTTTACACAACCAGGAAATGCTCAAACTAAAGTAGCAAAATCAATATTGTAGAAATTACTGTAAACTTATTTAAATTGGCACAAATTATATAAAAAACACAGTTAGCTTACAAGTTAATTGTGATATTTTTTCATCCACCTTTGAAATTTTGATATTATCATACTGATTAAAAAAGAATGATCAAATTTAAATTCAAAACTCAAATTTAATGCTAAAATGTAATGATGTTTATACTGTTTTGTTCCCCACCCAGTATTATGCCATTTTCAGTTTTTGCCATTTCTGATTACCTTATTACCACAGAGACATGCCCAAATTAAAGAAGTAAAATTAATGCAGTGGAAATGACTGTAATATATGACTTAAATTAGCATATCCATATCCAAATTTCATTAAACTTTAAAACGTTTATATTATCATACTGATTTCCATATTTATTTTAATCAGATAGGACGGAATATATATATATAATATATATATATTATATAATATATATATATAATTTACCCCATGCTCACTATTATAGAGAAATTGTGCTACATGTTACTAATTAACAGTACTACTTACTTTAATAAGAAATGTCACTAATATGATTTTGATTTCAATCTTTAACAACTGCCAGATTGTGACAGGACATGAAAATATACTGCATAGCAAGACTGACCCATATAAACTGCATATTCGGCTTTTTCCCTATTTCTTCCATTTAAAAAGAATAAATTAAAGAGGATAAATAAAATAAAACATAATACGAAAAACCATCCCTCCTCTCTCTAAAGAGTAGAGCAGGCCTACATTACCAGAACGAGAGGGTGCAATCATTGACGAAGGTGTCGCTCTCCCGCACCAGAAATGTCCCGTCAACTCCACCTGAATCTGCACAATATTCCTGCAGCAGTCTCTCGGCTGTCTGTCTGCCCTCTGACATCCGCCCGTGAAACCAGGCCTCTGACTGATGAAGCTCTGTACCGCCCTGAGGTGACTGAGGAGAGGTGAATTACACAGTGAATACCTTTAATTTATGAGATTTTTTAAGTGAATCTCATTCTAAAATGGAGCCTCAGTAATTCACCTTTCCAACATCCTCCTCTAGTAGTAGTTCATTCTCCTCAGCAAAATACAATGTCTTATTCTCGATCACACAGTAGTGCTTGTACCATCTCTGTACACGGACACAGTCATACAGAAATTGCAATTATAATCAAGTAAGGCAACTGGAATAAGATGAAACAATCACACAAGCCTGTGATAGTGTTCACTGGACTTTGGCACCTCATCGATTGGATCCCAGATGAAGAGCTCTCCCTGCTTATCTCCTTTCCGCAGGTCCTTTTTGCTAAAGGTCTCATCAATATTCAGTTTCTTGTGCTGTATGAAAAAGTGAGATTGCATGGCTTTGGATTGTATTGTAAAATCAAAGACATTGCAGGATATTCCAATGAAGCTTCTCTACCTTGATGATGATCTTGCCCTTCAGTTGGGTTGGTGACGGCAGTTGTTCTGCTTCTGGTTCCAGCGGCTCCGTCAGGAGCTTGTCTTGGAAAACATCTTTGAACACCTGAGCCATCATTTTTTGCTGCTTGACGTCACAGTGTTCTTCTATGGACAGCACCACAGGATACCTGCCAACAGTGACATGTTCATAAACATACTTCAAGAATACTGCACATTTCCAGATACACTGTGTGCAACATATTCTTAATGGTATTCTCATTAAATTATTTATTAAACCTGTAAAAAAAAAAAGAGCATTAATTAAAGGAAGTACAACAAATATTACCCGTACTATATAACACTTGACATTTAAAATAATATATCATTGTTCATTATTATTTATTCAAGCGGCAGTAGGGGTGTCGAAATTAATCGTTGCATCACAATGCGGACGTGGACGATTCTGCATCGATGCAACTAGAGGCGCTTGTCACGCGATTATTAAAAATGCACTCTCTATTTTAAAATCTGAGCTTAGCTTTTTCCCACACATGGCACGTGTGACTTTCACGTGCGCTTTGTGCTTGTCCTGAAGCTCGCGGCTGCGTTTAAATGCACTTGCATCTACTTTTATGATACGAAATTGATGTAAACAATCAGTTACGTTTTCAGAACAGGGCAAAACATCTGATATGTCGAAATAGATCTGTGCATTAGTGTGAATGCAGCCTATTAAAACTGCCAATCAAATGGCAAAAAAAAGAAAAGAAAAACCCATTACTATGATTAGCCTATCTGTAAACTTTCGGATATGTAAAGCGCTCCCAGATAATGAAAGTGCTTTTTGTTTATGCCTTGTAATTGTATTTCCCCCCTTTATTACTTTATATTTGCTTGTTTTAAAAGCTATATTTAATTTTAATTCTTAACAATAATTAATCAATTATATATTAATTAATATCTTAATTAATTAATATAGTATTAATAATATTCATAATTAATTAATTAACATAATTATTTTAAAAAGTAGCCTACTTATGTAATTTAATAAAAATGCACAAAATAAATTTGACATAATCGTGATGCATCGTGATGCAAAATAATGCAAAATAATAATACAAATAATGTCACAATGCAAATATATACATATATATATATATATATATATATA